GGCATTGGTCAATGTTGGCAGTTGGTTTGTCATAGATGGCCTTTATAAGATTGAGGTAGACACCATGTATTTCAAGTTTCTGAAGGTTTTTTTTTTTTATCATGAACAGGTGTTAGACTTTATCAAAAGCTTTTTCTGCATCTATTGAGATGATGTGATTTTTGTTTTTGGCTCTGTTGATGTGGTGTATTACATTTATTGATTTGTGTATGTTAAACCATCCCTACATTCCTAGAATGAATCCCACTTGGTCATGATGTAATAATCTTCTTGGTAAATTCTATGCTGCATTCTTTTTGTCGGTATTTTATTGAGAATCTTTGCATCAGTGTTCATTAGTGAGATTGGCATATAGTTCTCCTTTTTGGTTGGGTTTTTCTCTGGTTTTGGTATCAGAGTGATGCTTGCCTCCAGGAATGATTTAGGGAGGATTGCTTCCTTTTCAATTTCATTGAAGAGTCTAAGGAGTATTGGCATCAAACCTTCTGTATATTTCTTGTAGAATTCAGCCATGAATCAATCAGGACTGGGCCTTTTTTTGTTGGTAAGTTTTTAATTATGTTTTCAATTTCAATAGCTGATATTGGGTTATTCAAAATTGCTATATCTTCTTGGTTAGCTTTGGTAGTTCATATGTTTCTAGAAATCTGTCCATTTCCTCTGTGTTTTCCACTCTATATGAGTAGAGATTTTCAAAGTATGTATTCATGATCTTTTGAATTTCCCTGGAATCTGTAGTAATTTCTCCCTTTTTAGTCCTTACTGCATGAATTTGGGTTTTTTCTTTTTTTTTTTCTTGATAAGGTTAGCTTGAGGTTTGTCAATTTTGTTTATTCTCTCAAAAAACCAGCTTTTTGATTCATTAATTCTTTGTATTTTTTTTAGTTTCAATTGCATTGATTTCTGCTCTAATCTTTACAATTTCCTCTCTTCTATGAGCTTTGGGTTTAACTTGCTCTTCTTTTTCTAGACGCTTGAGATAAAGCATTAGGTTATTTGCGCTCATTCTGTTTTTCTTGATATGACAATTTATTGCTTTATGTAGTTTCCTCTTAAGACTGCTTTCATTGCACCCCATAGATTGCAGTATGTTGTTTCTGCGTTTTCATGGAATTGTAGGTATTGATTTGTTTTTTCTTTAATTTCATCTGTAGCCCACTGGTTGTTCAGAAGGTTATTATTTAATTTCTATGTATTTATGCAGCTTTTCCAATTTCTTTTGCCATTAATTTCCAATTTCATTGCACTATGGTCAGATATTACACATGGGAGTATTTCAATACCTTTACATTTAGTTAAGAATGTTTTATGGGATAATAGATGGTCTATTTTGGAGAATGTCCCATGTACAGCTGAGAAGAGTGTGTATTCTGATGTGGTTGGGTGGAACACTCTGTAAACAACTATTAAGTCCAATTCCTCACAGGTATGATTCAATTCTATTATTTTTTTGCTGACTTTTTGTCTAGTTGATCTACCTCTTTCTGACAATGGGATACTTAAGTCCCCTGTTATAATTGTGTTCTTGTGTATTTGGTTTTCCATGTCCATTTGTATTTGTCTTATATAGTTGGGTGCTCCTGTATTTGGTGCATATATATTTATAATTGCTAGTTCTTCCTCTTGAATTTTTCCATTAACAAGTATGTAGTGACCTTCTTTATCTCTTTTAATCATTTTAGGTTTGGAGTTCACATTGTCTACAAATAGCATAGTTACCCCTGCTTTTTTCTGGGTTCCTGTAGCATGGAATACTGTTTTCTATCCTTTGACTTTTAATCTATGAGTTTCCTTTTGGGTCAGATGTGTTTCTTGTATACAGCATATTGTGGGATCATGTTTCTTGATCCATTCTGTCAACCTATTTCTTTTGATAGGTGAATTGAGGCCATTTACATTTATGGATATAATTGATATGTACTGGCTTGACTTTGCCATGTTATGTTCTAGTTGTTTACTTTCTGCTTTTCCTCTTTAATTGCTTGTCCTACCTGGTGGTTTCTTTCTGTTGTTGTTCTGGGGATTGTGGCCATTTTTATCTCTATCTAGCATGTCTTTCAATAGTCTTTCTAGGGTTGGTTTGGTGGACATGAATTTCTTCAGTTGTTCTTTGTCATGGAAGTGTTTTGTGTCTCCATTAAATCTGAATGAAAGTTTTTCTGGGTACATCAGTCTGGGTTGAAAGTTGTTTTCTTTCAGGGCTTGAAATACCTCCCTCCAAGCTCATCTTGACTTGAAGATTTGTGCTGAGAAGTCTGCCAGTGATTCTAATGGGCTTTCCTTGATAGGTGAGTTGTGTCTTTTCTCTAACAGCTTTTAGTATTCTGTTTTTATGCTGCATGTCTGGGATCTTAATTATTATATGTCTGGGTATAGATTTATGTTAGTTGTGATTGTTTGACATTCTGTTTGCCTCACTTATCTGCATATCAGATTTTTCCCCATGTTGGGAAATGTTCTGCTATTACTTCTGTGAATATTTTAGTTATGTCATTTGTGTTGACTCCTGCATCTTCACTGATGCCTATTAGCTTGTATTGTTTCTCTTGGCATCATCTTCAAACTGCTGAATTGTCATTTCATGTTGTTATTTTTAAAAGTTCTTTCCTTCATGATCACTAATTGTGATCCTGTCTTCAAGGTCTGAAATTCTATCCTCAGCTTCATTTAAATGGTTTTGCTAGCTTTCAAAAGACTTTTTTGTTTCTTGGATGTCTCTTTGAATTTGTTTCATGAATTGTGGTTGTTTTCTATATTGTTTATTCAAGGTTTCAATCAGTTTCCCATGCTCCTGTACTTTTTTTTTATCTAATTCTTCTCTAGCTGTGCTGAGCAACTCTTTTACTAAGGTTGTTATTTCTGTTTTTACATGAGAGATTGCTTCTAATTTCTGCTATAGCCTCATGGAGTTATTTTTTTATTTCACTTGCTATCTTTTCAGAGATTTCTGGTGTGTTCCTTTTGAAGTCCTCTATTTCAATGTCTCCTGTACTTGCTCCTGGTGGACTAGATGTCTGAGATTGCATTTTGCTTTTTTGTTTTGCCATTTTCCCCTTTTGGGTTAACATTTGGTCCTTCATTTCCACTGGTGTCAACTGTTGATAATGTGTATCTTGGAGTCCTACTGTGAGGTTGATGTTTGCTCAATTGCTTGGTCCCACAATAAAGAGGTGGCCCACTCACCTGAATTTTCCCTGCAGGGCTTGTTGGGTGAGTCCTATGTTCTTACTAGGCTTATAAACCTGGGAGTACTGATGGAAATCAACCTCTAGTTCCTGTTGTTATTATGTCTTCAGGTTGTTCAGAGTCACCAGATCTCCCTGTTTATAGTGTTTGTCTGGGTTCCCACAGGCTCCCTTAATTTTCTCCAGGTTGGGAGGTCTTGTTGGCACCCTGGTCAAGCTACCTGATATTCTCTGTGTGGAGGAGGGACCCACCCACCCACTTGCCAAGCTCGCCTATGGCCTACTTCTGGAGGGGGCTTTGCTATTGCTCCTGTTACTCACTGAAGGTGGCAAATTCTATTCTCATTTTAGGGGCAAACTCACCCCACTGATGGATGCCTGCTGAGTTCTTCTTACTGAGTCTCTCCTCAAAACTGCATGGTTAATCCATTGTAGTCCAAGGTTCTGGGTGGAGGTGTGGCAGCCGAAGATCAACAGCAATGCTAGGTCCACGAAGTGGGGGGGGGGGTCCCCAGTGGCAGCAATGGGACTGCGGGGTGCGTGTCACAGGTTGGAGTTCCTAGGTCCTGAGGTGGATGGCCAGGACTGTGGGACATAGGAGGGACCTGGTTTGGCCCGGTCTCATGTGCACCTCTGGCTGGAGTTCCCCAATCCCATGAGGTCATCTGCGGAGAAGGTGGGAGTCACAGGAGGGGCCTGGGTTTAAACAGGCCCCATGCATGCCTCTGGCTGGAGTTCCCAGGTCCTGTGAGGTAGTCTGCAGAGACTTGCAGGTTCTTGTCTTAGCTCCTTCCAAGAGGCCACATTCTGGAGCCTTGAGTCTCTCACATATGCAGTTTCTTCCTCCTGGCAAATTCCTCTCCTTCAATCCCTTTTTTTCCCAGCAGATGCCTAATCCTTTCTCCTTTTCTGCTTAGGCCTTGCTTTGCAGACTCTTGTCTCCATGGCTAGATGACATTTTTCTCCTTCCTTGTAGGTTTTGTATCTCTAATGATTCTGTTCAGGAAACCTTGCTCCCCTAATCTTGCTGCCATGAGTGTTTCAGATTCTTTTTGCTTAGCGGGAAACTCTTGAGGCTGTGCAGCACATCTGCCTCAACTTCCCAGCAGCAGGATTAGTGGCTGGCAAAGAGCGGATGCTTGGTATGTGTGTGCTGAAGGGAGGGGCCGGTATTGGAACTTCTGATTAGCCTATGCTTAGAATGGATTCTACTCTTTGGGCGTCTTTTGTCTCACCATCTCCTCTAGCTGTCTTCCCCTCTTCCTTCATTCTCTTTTTCCCTTCCCCTTTCTAACTTCCTTCCCCAGTATAGCAGAGTTGGAGAGCCCTGTTACTGGGAAGGGTCCTTCCTTACCCCTTCAATCCCTTTTGGATTCAACCACCTTGTTCCCAAATCAGTGGGAGTAAAGAAAATGGACCAGTTTTATGTTCTGAGTTCCTGGACTACCTTGTGGAATCAGTGTCCTCAGAGCAATCATGTTCTTCTCTTTCCTTCTCCTGGGAAACAAAAGTGTCCTGGTCAATGATCCTGCCCTTGGACACTGTATGGTGACTGAACCCATAGAATATGGAGGGGGCAGGGTTTAGTTTGGATTTCCATGTGGCTCCTTCTGAGTTCATCTCATGCTTGTCTTCAAAGGAGGATGGTGTTTACTGAAACAGGGCTGGGGTCAGTCAACAGAAAGTCCCAAGAATCCCATGATGTTCTCACAGATCCCTCCTAGGAACCACTTCCTAATCTTTACTGCCTCAGCAGCCTGGGTGTGGGCGTTGCTGTTTATAAAGGAGCTGAGTGTCACAGTGGTCAGGATACCAGCCTGCTCCTGCTCACTGGCACTCAGCTCACTCAGCAGGAAACTGGCCAATGTATTTATTCATGAAGATTCATCCATGCAAGTGCCAGGTGGGTTGTGCTTTTACCCAAAGAATCAGTGAACTGGGCCAGCAGGGGTCTGGGCTGGGACTCACTGACTTCCCTTCCCTACATCTAATGGCATAGCTGCCAAACGCCGTAAAGATGCTTGTTAGAAAAAATATCATAACCTATTACTGACTTATTTTCAGGAGCAGAAACTTATTGAGCAACACCAAATGGTGTTGCTTAACAGAAAGCAGAAGTAAATGTGATGCAAAACAACCCAGGAGAGAGGCAGGGACTAATGCTGTAAACTGCAGCAGGAGGAGCAGCCACAGAGCAGTAAGGGATGTCTTCTCAGAGGGACCGACTGCCCACATGGAAATCAGGGTCTGCTTCCTGCTTGGCTCAGCTTGGTTTCCTGTAAAAGTAGAGCTTGAGAGAGGATTTGGCACAAGCAGCTCATTTGGGGAGTGAACCCCAGAGCCACCATGCAGAGGTGGGGAGATCCAGAGCAGGGTGAGGAAATAAGAGGGGCCACTGTGAGAGACTCCGAGAAATGAAAGGAACACGGCTCAGAACTGAGAGTAAGCAGGGTTGTTTCCTGAAGCCCCATTCCCCCTGGTTTAGAGGGGCTGGTGGATTATCGTTAGTACCCAGGTACCATCAGCTTCCTGAAGCATGGTAGTGCTCCGGGCCTCAGTACAGAGATGGAGACTGACAGCTATGCCGATCACCTGTGGGTAGTCCTGGGGCAGGTGCCCAGACCTGGCTGAGTCTCCTGCACTCTGTGTGCAGAATGGCTACTCAGACCAGCTCATCTATGACTAGGATCTTCAGGAGAAATGTGACATCAGAAATCTTCAGTCAGTGGAAAACGCTGTCTTCAGGAGCAATTTCTACTCCAGCTTGGTACATTCCTCCAGGGAGGAGTAGCAAGGGGTGTGGTGAGGGAGGCTGTACTTGGTTTCCTGGGCCTGGCATCACACAGCATGGGATTCAATTCCCAGCTCCTCTGTCAAGTCCGTCCGGCCAGGGCTGATGTTGCCTGTGATCAGCCCTTTGACGCTCAGCACTTAGGCCCTCCCTGGGAATTTCTCATTTGAATTTCTTCTTCTCCATGGCTGCTTTCCCCAGATATGAGGCAGGCTTTCAAGGTTCTTGACTTAAACAGCTCTGCTGTGGACACCACGAGATTGAGATTCCCAGAGTCAAATAGTACCACAAATTCTGCCACACGCTCACAGGAAAGCCATGGCAGCTCTCCTTCCTGGGACTGGGAGTCAAGGAAGCTTGATTCTAGAGAGAATTAAAGTAGAAAATTTGGACAGGTGGAGTGGCACATACCTGTAATCCCAGCACTTGGGAGGCTGAGGCAGGAGTATATCACTGTGAGTTCAAGGCCAGCTTGGGCTACACAGTGAGTTTAAGGCCACCTTGAATGACATGGCAAGACCCTGTCTCAAAATAAATAAATAGGAATGTGGCTGGAATCTATTAAAGAGTTTACATTCTATCACAATTTGGAGATTGTGACCTGTATTGACTCCATTTTGTGGATGAGAAAACCAAGTCACGGGGCACATGAGAAGCTTGTCCAAGGTCTCATCTGATCTACATTCTGGAGCCAGATTCCCTCTTTACTGGGCTACATGGTTCCCACTGTGAGAACGGCAGGAGGATCAGGTGTAAACTTGGTCAGGAGAGGTGAGTTTTCCAAGTTTACTCATGTACCCATCTGCAGAAACCCTCACAGGCCACTGAGGGTCTTCATGGCCCCAGGCAGGGACCACTCTGGGCTTCACAGCAGGCGAGAGCAAGGCTTGAAAGACACCAGGAGATGGGGCCATGTCCACCTTTGTGGCTGTCCCTGCTGTCCCTGTGCTGCCTGCTTCTCTCTTCTTGCCCAGCACCGTGGTCCTCCAGGTCAGTGTGTCTCTGCAGTTTCAACACCGACTGAGATAGGCCACTGAGATAGGGAAGAAATGGGATGTGGGCTACCACCATCCGTCTGCCACAGGTGGGCAGAGGGCTGTGTGCCAGCTGCTTTCCTCTCAGCACTTTACCCCACAGGTGACCCTCTACAAGGCCCACTCAGCAATCACTGTCCCAATGAGGGGTGTGGAAAGTCCCTACCCAGCTGGGTTCCATTTTCTTTTCCCTGCTGCTTTTGTATTCAATATCTGGGGCTCTTCACTTTTGCTGACAACTTGCTTAATGAGAGTTGGAAACTTGGGTGCCTAGGAGTGTTAGGTAATTTCTTTAGAAATGGCTCTCTCTCCAATCAAAATTATTCCAGGTCCTTCTTGCCTTGAACAAAGAATTGGATGAGACAAACCCAAAACAGCATCAAAAGTGTATGTGAAAAGTGAGCAGTGATTGATTATGGGGAAAACCAGCTCTGTTGTGTGAACGTGGGCAGGAGAAGAGAAAAAGAAGATAAAAGCAAAAATAAAAGTGCACGCTTCCTCTGGGAAATGCAGCTTGGGGTCTCGTAGGAAGTCACGATAGTGTGCTCCCCATGGCGTCTCAGTTCTTTCATGCTAGCTACATCCTGTGGGAAACTGCAAGAAATTCCACCTATGAGGTCCTGAGAATTATTTGCTGATGTCCTGGGGTCTTGTAGTTGACAGGTCCTGCTCATTTCTCCAACCAGCTTTGCCATGCCTTGTCTCCCATATCACTAGGAGCAGAGAAGGGATTGTGAAAGGGGAACCCAGATGTCATATCTAGTTCCTCTGGGCAACTTGCACTGAGGTCTTTGGAGTGAGAAGAATTGCATAGAAGAATGGGGTGCTCTTGGCTCAGTGATTCTCATTCCTGCCTGGAGTGATTTAATTCTTTCTTTCTTTCTTTCTTTCTTTCTTTCTTTCTTTCTTTCTTTCTTTCTTTCTTTCTTTCTCTCTCTCTCTCTCTCTTTCTTTCTCTCTCTCTTTCTTTCCTTTTCTTTCTTTCTTGTTGTATAGGTGAGACTTAGGCACCAAAATCCTGATGATTCTAACAGGCAGCCAGGGCTGAGAATCCCTAGCTTGGTTTCAGTCTGTGGTTCTGAAACAGAATGCACTGTTCCAAGCCAGCCTTTGAGGCTCAGCTCCCAGGAAAGTGGCCTGTCCTTCTCAGATCTGCTGACTCTGCCAAAGCTCCCAAATTGGTATTCCCCTACCACGTGGTACTGGACACCAGGAAATGAATGGTACCCCTCTGGGATCTAATGGGGAGTATGCACAGGACAGCTCTGCAGCGATGCCAGGTCCACCCAGAGCACCGCAGCAGAGTGCAGTGCACAAGTGCTCCCCAGAGAATGGTGGATGCCTTATTAGCTCTCGGCCTGGGACATGAGAGGAGAGAATTGTATCAGGAGGCCATGAGGAGAGGGACTCTGTGGTACCTGTGGCTCTGTCCCCCACCTCTCTGTTTTGGGAGGCTGTTGTGGGAATTCTCATTGTGACAATCTGAGTCCTGAGTAGGGGTTTACAAAGCTGATTCAGAGATTAAGTGAGGTGCTTTCAGGAAATATTTGAGTTCAAGTTTGGAGTGAATAGAAGTTTGCAGAATTAGGATCACTTTCAGCCATGTTGAAATCTTCATTAGATTTTAGAGTAAGACAGAGTTTCTTTTCTAGTGTTCCTCTGTGAGTGATGTACTTATGGTACTCTCTCTCTTGCTTAAGTATAATTTGATAGGTTAGGTTGATTCATCTATGCAGAGGTCTGAAAGTTCCACAAAATCAATTGTTGTAGTCAGGGGTTGTACACAGAGAACAATTAGGATCAAGACATGGAGTTTATAATATTATTTTTATAATGGTCACCCAGAGTTAACACAGGAAAATGCAGGAAATCTATCCACAACACCAAAGACATAGATTATTTAGGCAAGAGCCTAAACCCCACAGCAATGTTCACATGAGTCCAGATAAAAAACCAGAGCTCAGGACAATGCCTCCCAGAGTCCAGCTGGAGGTCCAGGGCCCACAAGAAGGACTCACGCCCGTCTCTTTTACAGATCCATGCCGGGAAGACCCAAAGGTCAGTGGTGGAAGCCAGAAAGTCTATGCCAGCAGTATAAAGGAGCTGTGCTAGTGGGATGAGGGTTCTACATTGAGGCCAAGAAGTCACACTCAAAACAAAGACCAGGGCTTTCCTGAAAGGCACCACAGCCGTCCTCAGCAACACAGAGGCCCTGAGCTCCTCTGATGACAAGCACAGTTGGGTACATGCTAGGAAGCAGCGGGACAAGTTCATCCTGGAGACCAAGCAGCACATGTCTTCCCCTCCGCAGCCAGGAAGCAATGCTCAATGTGAGGACTAAAGCTTCTCCAGGGGAACCAACAGCTCAGACAGCAACTTGTAGGAGAACCCACAATGCCTCCTTAACACCTCAACCCTCAACACCTCCCTTCTTCTCCATCTATTTATCATGGCAACTTTCCTCCGCATCTTCACTCAATGCCATGCTGATGTAATCCAGCTGGTGTTAAGCTGACCACTAGTTCTTAACCCATAACATTAATGCTTCGATAAAAGTGATAATTGTGTTAAACAGATTTCTCCCTATGATCTTGTTCCCACTGAATGTCAGTTCCCAGTCCCAGTGGTTGCATTGAAGTCTTTATTTCACAAAACAAAACATTGGAAACCCATCTGTAATGGGAGAGAGGTTTTTGTCTTTTGTATGTGGTAAGTCATTAGGCTTCAGGCATGGCTGGATCCAGAAGTCAAATGGTGTATCTGAAGGTTTACTTTTTCTCTGTTTCTTGACTGTGTCCTCCTTGGCAGGCTGCCTTCATTCTCAGGTAGACATTTTTATTTGGAAAGACAGATGGGCCTTGGCAGGCCCAAGCCAAGATCTTCAAGTTCATAATGCAAGAGGAAGAGGAACTGATTTCTTTCAGTATGTATATTTGCGTTCTCAGGCAAGATGTTAATCAGCTGTGTTGCAGTGATGTGCCCATCCTGGAATTAACCTCTAGGGTTGAGGGATGTCACATAGAACTATTCCTGGCATTATGTCCACCACTATGCCCAGTGCATGGAATAGGTTTCTTACAAGGAGGAATTCAGTCATCAGATGAGGAGAAAGGATGTCGGGCTGATGAGAGGAATGATTTTCCACCACAATGACCAAACTTGTTTTTTTTTTTTTTTTTTTCTTGGCCCAGCGGGTGGTGTTGTGGGCTCTGTTTACACTTCCTCCTACCATTGTGAGGTTATTTAATTGTTTCAGCGGTATAATTGGCTGAATTGGCTAATGTGCCTCATTCGGTGGCTCCATAACTAGCGTGTGTGTGCTCTCTCCTCTCTCCATTCCTCTCCTCTTCCCCACCCCCACCCCTGCGTGACTCACCACTAATATCTCTCCAAGACTCTACTGCTCTGGAGGGATAATTCCTTACTTATATCGGAAGAGGATGAGAGCAATTAGCTGAGGACCTGGGCTCAGCGTCCATCCGGGGCTCCTTGGAGGATTCTGTGTTCTGCGGGAGGAGGGTAATCTGGTTAGAGATAATTTAGGAAAACCAATGGGATGAGGATGGCTCTTGGGTTTGCTGAAAAGGGCACTTGCATCCCCACAAGACGCAGCAGTCTTCCTTTCAAAGCGTGAGACACTGGGTTTGTGGAAGTCCTGCGTCTGTGGGCTTGCTGAGTAATGACGCAGGCGCAGAAGCAGGAAAGAGAGGAACAAAAGGCATCACTCTTGCTTGCAGAACTGGTCAGTCTACTTGGAGATGCTTGAAACGCAGGTGCTCAGCATCAGTGACCAATGAGAGGTTACAGATTTTTATGTCTCAGCTATGTTTTGGGTTAGAAAGGAAGACAAAGATTACAGAGTTAGAGCCGCCAGGGAAGGCTCCTCGGAGGTGGTCTTGATGTATAAGCAGAAACTGATGAAATGGAGGAAGTGCTATAAAATCACAGCACAGAGAGGAGAAAGTGGATATTTGTTGGGGCCAGGCTGGAAGGCATCCTGTGGGAGGATTAGAAGGGTGGAGAAAGGAAGTCTTGGTGACCAAGAGCCTTTAGGCTGCAGCCAAACGAGCAGAATTGTTTTGATTTAGTCGCAACGGAGGCTTTGTCTTCACTCTGCATTCCTGGGTTCCAATTGTACCAAATATTGGGTAAATTTCTGGTGCTCTTACTGCATAGTATGGGATGTGTAGATGTCCATGAGGCTAAGGTATATGCTTCTCACCTAGGTGTCTGAGATGTTCAGGGCTTCTTAGGGATAGACATGAAGGGACTTGGGGATGTAAATATTTTAGCAGACTTTAAAGTTAGGGACATAGGAACAATGGTTGATAGGCTACAATATATCAAGCTCCTACTGCCTACTTACTTACCAGGTTTTTAAGCAGTTACTAAACCCTGCTTATATGACTGGGCTGGGCAATACAGGGAAACAACACTATCATCCAGAGTGTAAGAAGTGTGGCTTCTAGTAGATTCCTTAATGGAGAAGAAGTGGGAACCAGTAGCAAATATCTTGATAGTAGCAAGAATCTGGCTTAGTGGTGAGATAAATTCAAGACCAAATCATGATCCTACTAATGACAAGCTATGTAATTTTGGACAAGCTACAAAAATGTCCCAAAACTAAGATTTTTCTATCTCTAACACATGATTAACCCTTGCCCTACTGGGTTTTTGTAAAGATTACCTATAACATGCAATTAGGCTTTCTACACAGTGGGTACTGATAATCAATTACCAATGTGTTGCAGGTGGACATCAGTACAGCATCCCCAGCTGAGCTGGAAGTGTCTCCCTGGAGCAGTGGTGGTGAACACGTGGCAGGTATGCTGCAGCAGGCTCCGTGTGTTCACCGAAGACTCTAAAGAGTTGCCACCCCTGCTCGGGAGCGTGATGAAGAAGAATCTGAATCTCTTCTTGATCACCCTTCACAATCCAGAGCATTTTTTTCCCACTGGAAATAGGAATACCTCCCTGTTCTTGTCAGCTAAGAATCATCACACTGGAAGATCTACCCGATCTGGGAAAAATCTCGAATTACACATTCTGATAGAGACTACTGATGTTAAGTGCCATTTCTTTAGTCACTAATTGTGTCTGCATGCTGTCCCCAGCTCCTGGCATTGTAGCTTCATTTGTGTATTTACTGAGTATTCGCTGAGCACTTATTATGTACTGGAGCTGTGTATAAGAATTTGATATTTGATTTTCTACCACAGGTGCAGAAGGATTAAATAACTCCTCAGTGGCCAACTCAGTGGACCTTGATGGAGCTGTGTCCTAGTCCTGGCAGTGTGATCCCAGAGCCCAGGTTTCAACCATAACAATGACCTGCTCCTTCATAGGAAGCTGTGCCCCAAGGGCTTGACTGATGTCCCGTAGACTGGGAAACCCTCTGTGCAAGCTCTTATTTCCACAGAGAACTCTTGGGGGCAAAGTAAGACCCCAGAACGCAAGTTCCAACAGTGAAACAATAAGACATGCAGTTGCTTCTTAGGATCTTGCTTTTCTCCTGAATACCTTCTAAGGTGTGGGTAGCAGCTTTAGCCCTGCTGGTCTAAGAACACCCAAAGCGCCTCATAAAAGAGTAGTCAGTTTAAGGATCCCTGCGGAAGGGCTAGGGACTACCTTGAAAGCAGAGGAGTTGATAGGATCTTTAGACACCTTTAGCCCAAGCTTCTTTCCACTGTGAGATTCATTGATGATGGCTGGGAAGGCTGTGGCTTTGTGCTTCTGGCTCGGGCAAGGCTTGGTATAGCTGTTATTCTGCTGTTGGGCAGCTCTGGCTGTAGACAAGTTCTCCTGTTGAGTAAAGATTTGCCTCCTCCTGACATCCACCAACATGTTCCAGTTTGTTGGGGTCTGTGCCTAGATCCCCCCAAGTGGGTACACAGCGAAGGCTCAAAGGAATGAGACATGTGGCATGATCTTTAGGGCTCCAAGAAAAATCCTCTGTAGAGTTTGTAACTCTGCTAGCTAGCTGACCGACTGACGCTGGGCAGCCCTATTTAATCAGAACAAGCAACGAGTTGAGTGGAAAACACAGGAAACCTGAGGAGGATCTTAGGAGGGGTCCAAGGATCTCTCAGAGCAACAGACAATGCTAATTAAGGAAAACCACCCAGAAAGTCTCCATGTGGCCTCAGCTGTGGCTTATCTTGCCTCCTGAGGTATCTCCTCATTCTCAGTTCAGCCAGCCCAGGCCACGCCACAGCTCTGAATGTGTATTCAGCTCCAACGGCTCCAACGGCTCTAACACCAGTTTTCCTGATAGAACAAATTTCTTTTTTTGGATAATAAAGTGGCTGAGGGAGAAGTGGTATTGTGGCATCTGATGCAGGCTGGGCAGACTCGCTAACTGCTTACCACTCCTTCAGCCCCTCACAGGCCGGCATCATTCTGACCCCTGCACTTCTCTCTGAAGGCCAAAGAAGCTCATCCTGGATTCCAGCTCCATTCCCGCTTCCTCAGACATCTCTATCTACCAGTTACCGCCTTTCTCATCCTTAGCATCTCCTTCTCAACTGGCTCAGTGCACTTAGCATTTAAACACATTGAAGTATTTCCATCCTCACAACAAAAATAAAACTCTCCTCAGTGTCCTCGGCCCACTCCTCAGGCTCTTCCTTCCTCTTCACAGCTAAACTGCTGACAGACTTGAATCTGTTTATGCTCCAATTCTTCATCTCCTAGTCTTTCCTCATCCACTCCGAACTGGCTTCTTTCGCCCACTCCCCTCAGGGACAGGGTAAAGCTGCCAAAGGTCCTTTTGTCGTTAAATCCTGTGGACAATTTTCAGATATGCTTCTATGTGATCTTGGAGGTATGTGGCACCATCAACCACCATATTACTTTCATTTGGCTTTTGCTGATGCACAGTCTCCTGCTTGTATCTCCTGTCTCCCAGTCCCATTAATCACAAGGCAGACTTACCTCATGTATCAAGTACTGGGTTTGTGGGGTTCTTAGGTCTGGCTTGGGGAGCTCCCATTTATCCATGTGCATTTGATCCTCTCCTGTGTCTGATGACTCCAAAGTCTCTGTACTGAATGTAGATGTATCTCTAGAGACCCAGATCTATATTCAGGTGTCCACTTAGCATCTCCAAATGGATTTTGTACACATTATCCAAACTTTGAACATACAAAATTGAATTTGACACATTTTCTCTTCAAATTTTCTTGTCATCTGGCATTTCCAACTCAATATTTGGCAGAGCACACTGCCTTTGCTTGGGCAGAAATGTTAGGGTTATCTCTGACATTTGCTTCTTTTTTTAACCTATGTATACTCTACATCTTTCTTACCATATTTTGCTTGTTCCAGAGCCTAAACATTTCTTGGAACTACTGTTTGCTCTCTGGATATTGTCACTAATTTTATCTAGTCTATTCTATTGGAATGATTGAAACTATGGTGAAGGTTTACATTTAAAAAAATCTTACAGTAAAAGATGCATTGCCATAATCCCTATCCGAATATTCCCCTCATTTTGAACATGCCTATCCTATCCTTCTGTTCCCACAACTTTCTGAAGCAGGTCTAGAAGTCCTCTTTTGTAAGTGTCTTTAGTTGCACTGTCATGGCTGCCTTCAAGCCCTGACTTGATTGAAAATATTTATCTTTCCTGATCATTTTGATTTTGGGGAAGAACCAGAAGTTACATGGTGCCAGACCTGGTAAGTAAGGTGATGAAGCCAGAGTGCAGTGCTTTTCTCTGAGCCTGCCTTTTAATTGGATGCTGCTTGACAGTAGCACTCACCATGTTTTCTTATCACACTTCATAATTACACCCATGAAAGAGGAGTTCACAACTGTGCAAGAAGGTGACACGAATGATGTGCTATGAGTGTGGAGTGAGAAGGAGAATTTTCGCAGGGATTGATGGCAATGTGTCTTTTACTGTAATAATGTTTTAAAAATGTCAGTATTCATCATAGTTTTCAGTGACACTTTATATTTTGCTTGAGTTAATTTATCAGCCATTACTCAGCTTCCTCTCCCAATCCTTGCACTGAGGATACTATGGATGGTCTTTCTAAAGGTCAAGTGTGCTGCCATTCCTCGTCTACTTACATTCTTCTCAGGATGGAGTGCATGTTCTGGGATCTGAGGTAGTAGCAGGCTGGCTCTTGGGCAGAGTATTTCAGTCCAGCAGGTGGAGTTCAGTCCACTGAGGTCAAGCAACATTGCAGAACATGCGGAGTTGAAATGAGTATGGTTGTAGAGACAGAAATGGGGATTGTAAAAGCAGAAGAGCAATGATTCAGGGTGGATGTGGGCAGAAGCCAGGCCTAGATTGATAGGAAAGCTTCCTGGCAGCACCAGGGACAGCTCCAGAACCTTGGCCAGATGTAGCAACCCCTCCTTTGACAGACCAGCGGTTTCAGGCTGTTTGAGTTCTTTAATGTGAGGACAGATGGAAAGATGGGCTGAGCGGCTGAATAAATTCTCATACTCTGTATAAGGCAGCCCATTGTTCTGGGGTGGTGATTTTGAGTTTAGAAAAGGGAATACAGGGAACGATTCCATTTGGTCTGTATGGTTCAGCTTAACAGAATCTTTGCAACTTACAGATGAGTGCCCTCCCCTCTCCTCAGCTTCCCCTGTTCTCCACAATCACTGCACTGTGGATGTGACTTAGTATTTTCATAGTTTTGAAGGTTGTGTGTATACTCAGGAGCCTTGATGTGCTCTGTTCTTATTGTCCTTGGTGGCAAATTCCCCTTACCCTGACTATAGAATGTCAGTTCCATCCTATACCATGTTGGCTTTTCTTCCAGGAACAGTTGTGAAGCAGTGCTGATGATATAAGCATCCCGCAGCTCCTTCTCCAAAGGCTCTAGGGGTTTGCTCTGTCTGAGGAGATACAGGAAAAGAAATGGAGACAAAACCACTGAGATATGCTCTCTGAGGTTGGTTTGGACAGGCATCCACAGTGAGCTCTCTTCAGTGGTCAGGCTTTCCATTCTTGTCTTCCAATTTACTCTTCTAGATATCAGGTTCCTTGCTCTGAAAGTTTTCAAGAGAGATAGGAATGGGGCTGGAGAATCAACCTAGAGTCCTAGCCAGCATGAAAATAAATGAGCTTATTGTGGAAATTGCTGAATACACAGAATTTGGAGACAAATCCCAGATATTTTAAAGATATTCTAAGGAAAACAAATTCACAATTTGGCATTTTGTCTGCCAGGTCACATCAGAAAATATGTCTCTGCTTTCTGGGGGAAGAAGAAACATCTTCTTTCTGGCATGGTAACAGTGAAGATATCATCTTTTCAGGTGGGCATGAGAACCTGGGGGACGGGAATGGCTCATTCCCATTTTCTTAAAAACTAGATTCATTCCCTTCAGTCAGCAGCTCTTGTGGTTCAATTTCTTCAAGATTCTGTCTGTTCAAGGGAAATAAATGCATTCATTTATTCCACTCAGATATTTGATAATAACAAATGCACAAGATGAAAAGTGGGGTGGGTCAATTTTATCTCAAAGTCCTGTGGATGAAAGCTTTAGAAATGCTGAGGTGAGAGCTGCAGATACTTCTCCACCAGGCAAGTGAAGCCAGCCTTGCAGAGGAGGAGAAATTCTTGGAGAACTATCCAAAATCTTTACAAGGCAACCCTTTGGGCCCCAAGCCTGGATTCTGAGTTACTCTGCACCATTAAGGTGGGGAATTGGAAAGATTTTCACACCCAGAGTGCATTGGCTGTGGGGAAGGGGGAAGCTAGGGAGAGGGCTGGGCACTCATCTGTTAGTTGCTAAGGCAACTGTCACCTCATATTATTGCTTCCTGCTGGGCTCCCCTAAACCTGCTGTAAAGGCTAAGGATCCACACTTAAAGGAGTCCAAGGAGGAGCTCTTGGAAGAGCTGGAGGGAGGCCCAGTCTCACATAAAACCTCTATGTTCCATGATGCTGCTAGTGAGGATCTTTATAGCTTGAGGAATGTTACAACCAATGTTTTCTGGAAATGTTGCAGCATGATGCTATACATATTGAGCCAATACTTACTGCTTGGGGACAGCTGCCTGGTTTTCAGAATTTGGGGAGAACAAGAGATGACAAACTCTTGGAAATTTGTGGAAGGAGATTTATTGTGATTCTAAGCGTGTTCTGATAGTTCCACTTATCTCAAGCTTTTCTAAAAGTGTAAATAGTGAGCCTGGATTTGCTGGTAGGAAGCTTGCAGGTGAAGGTGTGAATTTGTAGCCAGACACAGTCAGGGGCTGAGTACACGCTTTGTCACTCCTCATA